TCCATCCATCCAGCTATCCGTCCATCCATCCATCCATCCATCCATCCGTCCATCCATCCATCCATCCATCCATCCATCCATCTATCTTGTCTATCTATCACATCATCTGTCTGTTCATTTGTCTATCATCTATCTGTCCATCCAGCTATCCATCTATCCATCCATCTATCTATCTAATCATCTAGCTGTCTGTCCATTTGTCTATCATCTGTCCATCCATCCATCCATCCATCCATCCATCCATCCATCCATCCATCCATCCATCCATCCATCCATCCATCCATCTATCTCTCTTGTCTATCTATCTAATCATCTAGCTGTTGGTTCATTTGTCTATCATCTATCTGTCCATCCATCTACCCATCTATCTATCCATCTGTACATCCATCCATTCATCATCCATCTACCTTTCTTTCAACCTACTTCCCCACACATGCTGTCTCCCTCCTACGAATGTCAGTTCCATGCAGCATAGAATGTTTCATTTTGGTCTGTTTCACTAGTACCTAGCACAGAGCCTTGGACAAAATAATCATTTAATAAGTGGTTTTGATGGTTTGATTGGTTTGTGATTTCATCAGTGAGAATGTTCTATGCTGATCACAATCTAGCCTTGATTGACCATCCTGGGAGTCCCTTGTCTCTGCCTTCCCATAAGTGCATCACAGAGGGTCTACTCCAACATACTTATTTCTCCTGGGATCACAGTATGGGCACCAAATACATCATTTCTATCACTTGCCCCAGAATCAGTGTGTTAGTAACAAAACTGGGATCTCAAGAGTGGCTGTGAATATGGCCTAAGGAATTTGCAGCTGATTAAGGGAGATATGTAGCCTCTGGAGGCCTCAGGGGCAAGGTTATCTGGTGGGTGGAGTTTCCAAGGCCAGGACTCTTGGGTCCAACATCAGGCCCTGTTTTTGCCATGTCTGCTTACATAACTAAAGCTCACATAGCCTTCTGTGCATCTCCATTATGACTCTTCACCAATGAACATTCAGAAATGTTTTCACGGAAATAGTTTGAGTTAATGAAATGCAGATCTTAATCAGTTTCCCAAGGAGCCATCTGGTCCAGTTAGGGGCAGGGCCTGGACGCCTCCCCCCTAGGCCTGACATCTGCCTCCAAGCCTGGGGAATGGGAGCACTGTCAAGTTTGATCAGTCACACTCATTTGGCCAGTGTTTTGGTGGCTGCCATATTGGCAGGCACCGACTTGAAATGCATGGAACAATTGGAGTCAGGGGCCCCCTGTAAGACCATGCTGATGGTTCCCAAAGGAGAATTGGGGAGGCCCTGAGTGTTCACTTCAGCTCAAGCACTGCCTGGCTATGTGGGACCACAGGGAAGGCCCTTCCCCTGTGAAATGGGGAAGATGAAATTCATATGGCCTGGAGGACAAGGTCACTGTGTGGGGAACATGGCACAGTGGTGATTGTGCAGGGCCCTGCTGGGATTCCAGGCCGGCCACTTATGACCTGGTGACTTTGAACAAGCCCCTGGCCTTTCTGGGCCTCAGTTTTCTGCTCTGTAAAAAGGCGGGGTTGGACTAGATGGCTTCTGAGGTCCTGTCTACCTCTAGGCTTGTGTTCTGTCAAAAGCACTTTGCAGATGGTGGAGTGCTAGAGAAAATGCTGGAGCGGCTGTTATCACTGTGAAGAGACGGCACTAGTGGCTGCCTTGAGGAGAAGAGACCTAGCTCCTCTCTGCAGGTCTGGGGAGGCGCCCATTCAGAAATGTGGGGGAAGATCCTCCACATGTCAAGCCCTTCAGTCCAGTCTGTCCATCCTGTCCAGCCTGTCTAGATGGCCTCACATTTAGCTCTTCAGTCAGTGACCCAGGAAGAAAGTCTAGGACCAATGAGAATTGTGCTTTCTGGTCTTCCAATCATGGATTAGAAACCTCTCTCTCTGTGTCTCTCTCTGCGTCTCTGTCTCCGTCTACAGACTTAGAATTTGAATTTGGATAAATCTGCCTTAAAACAAAACAAAACAAAACTTTTTTTCCAGGAATCCTTGAAGGTGAACATGTGGACTTTGACGGCAGTTAAATGAGTGCTCTTTCCTGATGTCAAAGAGGTTTAATAAAGCTCCAGCTATCTCCCTGACCCCTGACCCCCTCAGGCCTTCCCATCACTAAAAACGCTAACAGGACATTCTTTCCTCCACCTCCCTCCACACTGAACCCTGTCGCTGCTGCCCCTACCCACATTCCATCTCTTGTCTCTGCTTTTTTGGAGTCATCTTGGGAAAGTCCTGTCCCCTGCTGTAGCTGATGGGGCTGCCCATCCCCGGACAATGAGGGTGGGGCTATGCCTCCTGCTCAGGAGAACTCCATACCCCTGATGATCTGATGGGAGGGGAAGTGCCTTCCAGGGAGTTTCACACTAATGGTGCCGTCTGAGGAATTCGAGGGCCTCTCAGGCACCTACAGTTCAGAAGAGACCGTTCTTTTTCCCTTTCATGATCTGATTTCAGGAAAATTAAATTGTCCAAATAAGACCTTTCATTCCCAATGCTTATTTAGTGTGGTTGAGCAAACATCAAACTTGAAATGGGTCTGGGGTATCATCCGGTCCCTCTGTGTATGCAGATCGCAGCCCTTCCTGCGTATTTCATCCTTGTTCCCCTAGAAGTTTAAGGCCGGGGCCCACCTAACATATTTGGAGTCTCTCACTAGATCTTTCAGCATTCATGGTCACAGTCACATGGGAACAGGTGAAAGGGAGTTGGGCCCCAATTAAACAAGGTGTCTTCAGTATCAGAATGTCACCCTTCATTAACTGCTCCATGGAATGTCCACAAACCCTACCCTGACCGTTAACAGTCTGCTATGCTTGGGCTCACCCTGAGATGGGCGTCACAAAAACCCAGCAAACTACAACCAAAAACCTTTGAACACATGGGGCTGCGTCTGCAGCTTGTGGTAAGGTGAAGGTGGGGGCCACTACGGGCTAAGTGACAGTATACGAGATGGGAGCCTATGAAGCAAGGACTTTCACTTGTAAGATACTGCAGATGGAATTGGGGTTATCAGATTGCCAGGAGCCTGGGGCCAAGCTCCCTGCCCTCAGAGCCATGCACCCCAACTAGCAGCACTAGGCCTAGGTGCTTGTGAAAGGCAAGAGGGACGGACTGAGGGGAAGGCGGCACTCTGAGAGCCCGACTCTGCCCAGGGCGTTACTGCAAGGAAGGAGTACTCCTCCCGCGGGGTCCTGTGCTTTACCTGGTGACTGGCCCATCAGATTTTGAGCTTCATCGGAGGAGTGCAAAGGCAGCTTTTCTCCTGAAGAGCAAAGAAGAAAGAGATTTAAGGCTTTTGCCCTCAAGGAGATCAGCAATGTCATTCCAACTAGGGAAGCTCAAAATATGATTGATGAAATGGCCTTGTGATCCTCCCAAGAAACTGAAGGAAACGCTCTCCTCACTGACCACTTCCCCCACCCTGCCTCCCAGGGCCTCTTCCAGGGTCGAACATTCTGGCTGGCCCGTGGCAGATACAGCGATGGATGGACTGCTCTGTTCAGAACATGCCTTCGGTCCTTGGGCTGAGCCTGTTCCTTCGCTGCTTGGCTAGCATCTGTCTGTCTCCCCCTCGCTCTCTCTTTCTGCCCTTCCCTTGCCTAGGTTGTGCGGTCAGGCACCGGCTCCCTCCTGCCCTTCCTGTGAGTGCCACTCAGTAGCCTGGAGAAAAGATCCTGGCTGATGAGACTGGGGGGACAAGAGGGCAGGAGCTCTGGCCTCTGGTGGCCAGGAAGGGGAGATAACTCTCAGGGACCCAACTAAGGGAGCTGAGGAAGCCCCCCACAGTATCAAGATCATCTCCTCTGTTCCACTCTGGGGAAGCCCTGATGGTCTACGCAGGGTGGTCAGGCTCAGCTGAGAATCTATCGAGCCTGGGAGGAGACAGACATGGCCCCCCATAAGCAAGAACAGACTAAACAAAGACAAATTGGAAAGTAGACCACTCCCCCCAAATATAACTCTGTGCTTTCCATTCCCACAAGTCTGTTAACTTTACACCAAAGCGACATTCACAACAACATTGCCCTGGCCCAGCATTATTTCATTAAATTAAAAAAAAAAAAAACTCAGAGAGAGAGAGAGAGAGACAGAGAGAGAGAGAGAGAGTGAGGGAGAGATCGAGAGACAGAGAGAGAGACAGAGAGACAGAGAGAAAGAGAAACTCTACAGGTCAAGAAGAGAAGGAAATCAGTAAAGGGCATGTGGGTACGTACCAGGGAAAGCGGGGGTGGTCTGTCCAAGGGGAGGAAAGGGGGTTTGCTGCATGGCCAACTGGTGGAGCTTGGTCAACTGCTGAGGGGTAGGAGGGACATTAGAACTAAGAAGGTTATTGTCATAGAGTACACGTCACACTGAAGCAAAATCAAAAAACGAGAAATCTAAGAACAAAATGAGATTCAAACAAAACAAGGAAGGACGCCATGTCAGCGCATGGCCCACACAACATGAACAGAAGGACTTGGCCTGGGTAAATGCAGGAAGCCCAGATCGGTAGCCGCCATGCTCCCTTGCCGCCCGGGGCCCAAGGTCACTCACAGGGCCCAAGCACCCCCCGTGCCTTCTGCTCCGCTTCTCCTGGGGCTGCCTGCCCTCTGCCACTGGCAACTTGGGTCCTCCCCGGCGAGACTCACTGGGAGTCCACCAAGGCAGCTGGATGGCCTCTGCACGAAGGGGCATCTGGTGACCGCTCATTACCCCCGGGGCAGGCTCAATGCTCTCTCCATGGCCTGCACCCGGGATGCTGGCCGCTTCCTGACGATGACAACCTAATCATCATCCCCAAGTCATCTCATGGGGCCTCCAGAAGGCATCGGATGGTGCCAGCAGCTGCTAAGGACTGAGTCAGCCTGAGAGCTCGACTCTGCCTCTCTCTCCCATTCGAAAGCCCCCACGCTTAGCACAGTGCCAGGCACAGAGTAGGTGCTAAGTCGATGCTTGCTGATGATGAGTCTTTAGGTTCTGCTGCTTGTTTGATTGGGCAGGGGCTTAGAGGGGTTTGTGCCGGGAAGCCCACCCCTCACAGCCCTTCTGAGCTGTGGTCTGCCTAGTTCTTGGGGCTTTGTTCTAGGCCCATCCCCCACCCCCCACCCCCCACCCCTTGTGCCTGGAGACTTTTCACAGCACTGGTAGGAAGCGCAGCATTTAAAAAGAAAGTCCCAAACCTACTGGGGTACCTAGTCCCCCACTACAAAACAGAGCCTTTCTAGCTGCTGGGAGCCAGAAGGAGGTATCCGGAATCCCTGCACCCCCACCCACCATTCTGGGAGGCCTGGCTGCCCTGTGGAGGTGTAGACATTGAGAAAAGACACTGAGGAGGGACCAGGTGACCTGGGCTCTGCAGGGCGGCCAAACCGAACCCTGGGTCTCGTAGTCCCCCGGGGGAGGAAAGGCAGGACAGTCAGACAGCAGCAGCGGGGTGATGCAAAGCGTTGGCGCTGGGAACCCGGGGCACTGAAGAAAACGGGAAAGAGAAGGCAGGGAAGGACTTGGAGAGGGGAGGAAGAACCGTGATGACGCAGACATCGATACGGCCCTGACCTGAGACGGGTGAGCGGCCCGAGGACCGGGCGCGCACCCCTTGGCTCTTTCAAGGAATGTCGAGGCAGCAGAGAGCCTGGAGCCAGCACCCCGCGCTTCCTTCGCGCGGGGCAGGCGCTGCCTTCTGCCCAAAGCCTTTCCTGCTCTGCCCAGGGGTGAGAGCTCTCTCCCTTGCCATTACTTTGAGGCGGCTGCATTAACTACCCACAGACAGGTGCTAGTCCTGCAGCGGGAGGGGAGCTTCTGCAGGCAGGGATGGTCAAGCTCATCACCGAGCACCCAGCCTGGCGTCAACTCCTGTCAATGCAGGTCGGCCCCTGCCCTGCAACTTACAGCTTCAGAGAGGCGCCCGCGACAGAGAGGGGAAGTGACATGCCCAGGGTCACTCGGTCAGTGTGTGTCAGAAGCCGCACTTGAACGGGACCTTCCAAGCTCTGCAGCTTTCATTCTTAGAGACAGATCTGCCTGCAGCGCTCAGAGGCGAGGTGATGTGGCCGGGCTCACACAGCCTGGCACAGAGTAAGAGCTCAACAAATGTTTGCTGACTTGCTTCAGTTGACATTGACTCTCATGCCTGTGCACTTCGGGGTCCCTTTTGTACCTCCTGTTTGCTAATGGTTCAGCCGACATTCTTCACAGTGCAGAAAGCACTGCGTTTGGAATCAGAAGACCTGAGTTCAAATCCCAAATCCACTCCTCAGAAGTTGTGGCACCCAGGTGAGCCACTTCCCCTCTGGACTTCATCTGCCTCACCTAGAAGACAAAGAATTGACCAACCCTAACTCCTGCTCCACACAGCCTTGGGATCCCCAAAGAGAAATGGCTTGTGAGGCTCGTTGAACCAGAAACCAGTCACACTTGGAACAAGGTGCCAGGGTGGTAGGCACCAGTTTGCACCAAGCTTCCCGGTGTCAGGACTGACTTTTCAGAATGAGAGGAAGTGCTAAAACCATCTTCCCTACTGGGTCTGCTTGCCTTCCCTGGGCCAAAGCCTAGGAAGGATTTGAGGGCATCCCCAGGTACCCAGAGCCCTCGACGGAAGCACACACAATATTGACTCTGGGCTGCTGCCAGCGCCATGTTGTGATGTCAAAGACAGCCCACGGAGAGCAGGGTGTGCCCTGCGGGGGAGGGCAAGAGCCCAAGGGCGGCACAGGCTGAAAACCACTAAGGAAAGGTTCTATGGAGCACGTTTCAAAGACAGCGCTTTGCACAATGGTTCTCTATTGACCAAAGCCGTACAGGTGCCAGGGAAGCTTCACTGTCCTACTTACAAAGTCCCCCAGGAACACATTGAGCTGCATGTGAACATTTCCAATGTCCTTCTCTCCCCTCCCACTCTGATTTGACTTCTTCTCTCCCTGTTTTTGCTAGTGGGATTGGCCCAAATATTATGAAGCTGTTTCAACACGCTTTTGTGGTTGGACCGGTCAGTGCTAAGAGCATCGCAGCTGGCAGAGGAAACCTAGGAGGATTAGCCCAAAGTTCAGGCAGGAAGGTCTGTCTCAGGGCTTCAGACACAAACCATCGAGGAGGGGGTGGAGAGGCTGTGGGTGGGGCTGCACGCTTGGTCTCCTAACAGCTGGATCATTTGGCCAGTTTACTCAGTTTCTCTGGTCTGGCCTTTAGGAGACAAAACAACCAGGGGACCGAGGGGTCCTCCAGACAGTTGGAGTGCAGCCGCATCGATGTGGCCCTTGGATCGGAGCTGTGACACACATACACAGATACTCACCCCGTTAGGTCACTCAGTGGAGTGAGGCACTCCCTGAATGCTGTGTCCAGGCTCCCAGCCCCATGACCTCCGAGTCATCCCCATTTCTTCTCCTCCCTCCTCCCCCCATCGGATCCAAAGTAAATTCTGTCTTCATTATGGCTCTAAAATCTACCCCCCTTCCATTCAGATTCAGCCCTTTGAGTCATCATTAATAGGTGTTACTAAAGCCCAGATATGTCTTTGTTCCCCTCATGCTCAAGAAACTCACCCCTGATTCCTCTAGGACAGAGTGGGCATTAAAGTTCTCAGCAGCCTGCCTCTCGCCTCTCATTCCCCCTCACACAGCTTACCTCCCAGCTGACCTGGCCTATCAACAACCTTTCCCCAAGCAGGACATCCCATTTCTCATCACTAAGCCTTTGCCCAGGCTGTGCCCCGTGCCTGAAACACCCTTCTTCCTCTCTTCTTCCTAGATTGCTGTCTGCTATAAGGAGCCGCTCCTGATAACCCCCAGACCTTTCTCTTGCTATCTGTGCCTGTGCGGTTTATTTTCTCATATGCTACCACGCTATGTCTCTCCCACTCCCCTGCCCCTAGGAGAAGGGAAGCCCCCTGAGGGCAGGGGCCTCTCCACTTTGGTCAGTGAATCTCTAGTCACTGGCACAGAGCAGGATCTCAATAAACACTAATGGAGATGAGAATTGCCACCAAAGATGCGAGATGCCAGAGTTCACGAGCCTCAGGCTTTGTTCTGACAGTCACTTGAACAGAGCTTTGGAGGTGATGGCCACCAGGCCAGCGAGTCAGCGGAGCCGGGTCACAGGGAGGCAGGCGCCGATTTGCCTCGCCTTACCCTGGAGGGCAGGAATGGGATGCCCAGGCCAGGTGAGGGCTCACTACCTGACGTGAGGGAGCTGCCTCAGCATCTGCCTCAGCCCAGCAAGGATTTAAGGCGCATCCTCCCCCACTTTCCCTTCACTCCTCTTCATTCCACGATGGTGAGAAGGCAAAGACAAGAATGTCTACTCGACAATAGCTTTCTAACCCTAGTTCCACATGTGATGTTGGTGGCTCATTAGTTAGAGAGAAGCCTCCAGGGCCAACGGACCATAAATCTGGCCTTAAACTCTCCCATGATCCCCTGGGTCCAAGCAGGCCTCTGCACTTTGTGTTCCTGTTCAGGTAACACGGACCAGGTTCATGTATGTTCTTACTCTGATACTGCTGACTCTGTGACCTTAGGCATGTCATTTACTTCTCAGGGCCCTGCCACTCCTCTAAGACCAGAAGATGCAGAGGAGGTGCTGACCTGAACTGTAGGAGGGCATTTCCTCTTCTGGGAGTTCCTTACCACAGAGGGACACCAGGTGCAGACTCTGTCCCTAACAATCTCCCACCCTGCTCTCCTAGGGCTCCTTCTGCTTCAGTCAAGATGGCCCCAAGGCTTGGAAGGACACAGGTGCGCTGACCTGCCCACCCCACAGCAGCAACCGAGGGTGGTCTCTCCCCTCGGCCCTTCTCCTGCTCACTGATCACCCAGGGAGATCGGCCTGGCCTGCATTCCAAGATGCTCTAGGCACAGCGCTCCCCCCCCGCCCCAGATGAATTCCAAATGGGCAGGAATGGGGCTACCAGGGCAGAGAGTCTTCGGGGAAGAGCCAGGCTACCCAGGCACCATAAGGCAAACCAGAGGGAATTCCCTCAGGCCAGAAGCCTTCTGGGCTCTAAGGTAGCACAACTGGCTGCCAGTTTAGCAGTCTAAGTGAGGACTATGCAAAGGCACAGATGGTGCTTGGGCCCCTCCCCACTGTTTTCTGTGGAAGGGAAGGTGGAAAATGAGGCTGGAGCCACTATTTAATTGGGAAGGAAAAGTGCTGCAGTCCCACCGGTCTTCAGATGAGCGGAGACAATAGAAAAAAGGATCTTGAGGCTCAGTTTCCAGCTCTGCAAAATGGGGGAGTTGGGAGACATAGCTCCATCTACATATACATACATAGAGATGCAGATCGGTATATCTATCTGTCTATCTATCTATCTA